CCGCTTAATCGATTTCTCTTTTCATTCTGATCATTTATGTATACATTTGTCTATATCTATCTCGATTCGTTTTGCCTGTTACAAACAACCGTTATGTGAACAAAGTTATAATACCCTTGTGCACAAGTGCGCTCGGGTATAAAAAAAGCTCTGGCCAGACTGACTGACGAAAATATGCATACATGTGTACATGCGTACACACATTGACGCAGATGAACGTTTCGTACTTAGATAAAGTTTTTCGTCGATAAAAACTAATATTTAAATATAAAACTTTATCTTCCTTCCTTCTTACTTCAGCAAATCCGATTTGAAAATGTTTATTACCAAACTATGTATCCTCACTTATGTATATCGTTTGTATTTCACCTCCAATTTTGTCTACCATTTGCAGGTCATACCGCAGCTGACACATCTATCTGTGGCCGATATGGGAGTGCTGCCAATTGGACTGTTGGTGCCGTTCAAGCAGCTGCGCTATCTCAACATATCCGGAAATCATTTAGACAATATGTCGCTGCAAGTAATCGATCCGTGTCGAGAGTTAGAGGTAAGTTGGAAAAAAGTGAAATGGCAGCGAAGTTAAATATAATGAAATGAGTTGAAGTTGAAATTTTTGGTAATGCCTAGCCAAACGTGGGGGCGTCTAATCCAAAGCAGCATTAATGTGTGGTTCTGAATAGCCCAATAAAATTAGATTTGTAACAGCAATTTTTTGATGCAGTTTACTTCTATTTGACACGTAGATCATGGATCCACAGTCTTGTCCCTAAATTTCCTTTGGAAACATTCCGCCATCTTGGATTTAACTTTTTTGGGGTTTTTTGCCATTTGCAAGCTTATTTTGCATCTGTTGTAAAAGATGGTTAAATAAAAATATTTTATGTTCCACATTTTTTATATAGAAGATTTTTTATAAATAGCATTTTTTTATTGTAAAAAATTAGAAAAAATTGCGAAAAAATTTTACATTGTCACGGGTTTCGCCATTTTTTAACAATTTCTGTTAAAAATACATAGCATATTGAAATTCCAAAGTTGTAAAGAATTTCATTCTTCACAACATAAATACCAATTTTTTTTTTTTTGTACGACGCTAGATCACGGCTGGGTACGTGCCCTAGCGAAATTTAGAAAATTAGATAAATTTGGTAGGAAAATTTAAAAAAAACAAGTAAGAAAGTCTAAGTTCGGGCGGATCCGAACATTAAATACCCGGCGCTAGTATTAAATATATGTTTTCCACCTTTTCGAAAGCTGCCGCTACATGATAGGCCGGGGTGTATAAATTTTAAGTAAATTAGCGTCCTTAAATTTGGAAATATTTAAATTTCAAGCATTTCTGAAATTTACCGGTTATATGAAAAACGGCCGTAATTTTAGTCCGATTTCAACAATTTTCAACGGTTTGCTTTTGTGTGGCAAGCACAATAACCGTACCGAGTTTGGTACAAATTGGTAGAACGGTTACCGAGATACATATATGTGATCATAAGTGGGCCGTGCCACGCCCATTTTCCAAAATTTTATCACAAACATATTTCTTTGTTAAGAATTGTTGCACCCATCAATTTTGAAAAAATTAGCTTTAATATTTACTGATTTATCGAGGATTTCGTATTTTTCTAAATTACCGTTATATGGGATGTGGGCGTGGTTATTGTCCGATTTTAAAAATTTTCGGCCATTTGGTATGCCGTGCCAGGACCAACAACAGTGCCAATTGGTGCAGCGGTTACCAAGGTATACACAAGTAACCATAAGTGGGCGTCTAAAACTCATTGTAAATATCAATTTTGAGTGAATTATCTTTAGTAGTTAATAAAATATCGCAGTTTGCGTATTTCTGAAAATTACCGTTATATGGGAGGTAGGCGTGGCTATTGTCCGATTGCGCCCATTTTCAATGCCATCCGTCCTGCGCCCAAAAGAAGTCCACGTCCCAAGTTTCGTTAAGATATCTAAATTTTTACTCGAGTTATCGTGTGCACAGACGGACGGACGGATGGACAGACAGTCACCGCTTATTCGATTTCTCTTTTTATTCTGATCATTTATGTATACATTTGTCTATATCTATCTCGATTCGTTTTGCCTGTTACAAACAACCGTTATGTGAACAAAGTTATAATCCCCTTGTGCACAAGTGCGCTCGGGTATAAAAATGTGTGACAGCGATTTTTAGATGCAGTTTACTTCTATTTGACACGTAGATCATGGATTGATAGTCTCGCCCCTAATTTTAATTTGGCAACATTCCGCCATCTTGGATTTTATTTTTTGGGGCTTTTTGCGATTTGCAAGCTTATTTTGGATTTTTTCGTAAAAAAATGGTTAAATACAAATATGGAGAGAATTTAATTTCCCATATTTTTATACCCGAGCGCACTTGTGCACAAGGGTATATTAATTTTGTTCACATAATGGTTGTTTGTAACAGCCAAAACGAATCGAGATATATATAGACAAATGTATACATAAATGCTCAGAATGAATAGAGAAGTCGATTAAGCCATGTCTGTCTGTCCGTCTGTCCGTCCGTCCGTGTACACGATAACTCGAGCAAAAATTTAGATATCTGAACGAAATTTGGTATGTACGTTGCCGTTAATCCAACGTAGGTTGGTATTGAAAATGGGCGAAATCGAATCACTTTCCATATAACGGTAATTTCCAGAAATACGAAAACTGCGATATTTTAGTAACTACTGAAGATAATTCACTCAAAATTGATATTTACAATAATTTTTAGACGAAAAATAGGAATATTAAAAAATTTTGGAAAATGGGCGTAGCCACGCCCACTTATGATAGCATGTGTATGGTAACCGCTGCACCAATTTCTTCCAAACTTGGCACAGTTATTGACCTTGATACTACTACTACTACTACTAAATGGCCGAAAATTTTACAAATCGGACAATAACCACGCCTACATCCCATATAACGGTAATTAAGAGAAATACAAAATCTTCGATTAATCAGATAATATTAAAGCTAATTTATTCAAAATTGATGCTTGCAACAATTCTTTACTAAGAAATACGTTTATGGTAAAATTTTGGAAAATGGGCGTGGCACCGCCCACTTATGATCACATATATGTACATCGGTAACCGTTCTACCAATTTGTACCAAACTCGGTATTTTTATTGTGCTTGCCACATAAAAGCAAAACGTTGAAAATTATTGAAATCGGACTAAAATGACGGCCGCTTTTCATATAACGGTAAATTTCAGAAATGCTTGAAACTGGAATATTTCGAAATTTAAGGACGCTAATTTACTCAAAATTGATACACCCCGGCTTATCATGTAGCGGTAGCTTTCGTAAAGGTGCAAAAACATATATTTAATACTTGCGCCGGGTATTTAATGTTCGGCTCCGCCCGAACTTAGGCTTTCTTACTTGTTTTTTTTTTGTGAAAGTGAAATCGAATGTTTAGCGCAAATAATGCTTTTTGAATTTTTTTCCTAGGTATAAGAGAAGTTGGTAAAAAAATTCAATTGATTAAAAAAATAAAATTTTACAAACTGACCACTTTATTTTGTTGCCCAACATGTTCTCTAATTGCTGTCAAAAAATCAAAAGATTAGAATAAATGCATGCTGAAAAATTCCAAAAAGTTTAAAAGCGTGCATAAAAATTTGTTTGCAAATAACTCGTGAAAAAAATAAAATTAGCTCAACACGTCAATATTGCACACTATGTTAGCTTTCATGTTTTGGTAAATGATATATAAGCAATCGAAAATTCAACTTTGGGTGGCCGACATGAGAATGCTTTACTGAGAGACAAATTCAAATTTTCTGTAAAATTACATGGAAGTAATTTTGGAAGAAATTTTTAGAAAATTCATATCTTTCACGATTATCTATTGATTTTTATAAATGACTAGCCAATGCCCGCTTACTTCGCAGCGCCTAATAAGAACTTTTGCGTTGGCCAATGCAAAAGAGCGTTTAAAAGCAAAAATAGTCTGTCAATCAAAATTTTTGGTTTAAGTTGAAACCATTAACAGGCTAACCTAATATTCGCGGCTTGCGTTTTGGTACGCATGCCGTCGAATTTGTTTTTTTGCGTCACCCGAAATTGACTTGCATGCGTTTGCATTTGATTTCATTGAGCGAAACGTCAAATCAAAATGTCACGCAGAACAAAAATTGGAAATTGAGTTAGCTTCATACGCACGCCGTTCAATTTCGGTTGATCTCATACAAGTTGCATGTGCATGAGAAATTTTTGACAATAAATTGGCGGCGTGCGTGAATATTAGGTTAGCCTGTAAGGCGCAGTATCCTCCTCACACATAGGCCAATAATAGTAACGCTGTGATACCATAAGGAATACCAATCCCTTTCGGTGCCATGAGCTTTACCGATGGTCTTATTTCCACCTGTGAGATATCTGCCAAGCATGCGTAATCTTTTTCTATGATCTTGCAACTACAACATTTCTGCGATGCGTATGCCAATAAAAGTTCTTATAAGGAAACTCAAGAGCATAGAATTGCGTTTTCTGTTATAGGAGGGCCAAGAATCCTCGCTGTCCCAGAGGATGAAATGTTTTCCGGTACATTAGCTAAATGAGTCGTGTAATCTATTGAATATCTTTCAAATGAAGCAATTGATATACCTACGGTGATATTTCCTTGTTAATTCGCCACTTTTACAATTCGTGGTAATATTTATGAACTGATTTCTGGGTAGATGCAAGACCGCATGATCGTGCATGAAGTCGTCAGACAAACTTAACCCCATCCTTCATTTAGACATCTGAAAACTAAATTCGTATAACTTAAAAATGGGGCCAAAGCAGACCAACCACACGGGGTTTCTATACATTTCGGCTGTAGCGCCATCCACTGGGTCCATTTTCTGCAAAACCATTGCTTACCATAAAATGAATACGTGTTATGAATTTCAACCTCGACTCCAGCGGCACTCATCGGGTCAATTTTTATCAAAAGAATTTTCCATCATACAGGTACATAACTCACATTTAAAATTTGATCGAAATCGGTTAATAAATACGATTTTTATAAATAACACGACTCCAGCACCCCCTACCGAGTTTTCTAAGACCATATATGTATGTAAGATAACCTCCGACAATCTGACGGAACTCTATTCAGTGGTTTTTGAGTTTAGTCCGAACAACGAAAACGGCTATCATTTTATGCACATAGGACAGTCTATAGCGAAACACGTAAAATCAAAGCTCCATTCTCTGTGAAAAATTTTAAAAATTCTGCAAAATTTTCACATACATTTTACCTTTTACTAAAAATTAAAAACAAAGTTACAATATTTCAATGGGATTTAGGAATCTAGGAGAAAATAGTTCCCAATCGAATGATACTTGCGCGTTTACGTAAATGTATATCGATCCACTTTTCGCCATAAGTACGGTATTGATAACATATGTAGCTGTGTCGAATTTCAAGACGTTAGCGTAAGCGGTTCCAAAGATAAGCTATATGAGAATTTCAGTTTGTATGGAAGGTGCCACCTCCCCTTTTCCAATGCATTTGCAATATATGCACCAGTGCTAAGTTTCAGTTCCTCAGCGTAATTGGTTTTAGAGATATGTTGGGTTTTTACGTGATAGTCTGTATGAGCTTTTCAGGAATATGCCGAGCTACATACCGAGTAAATTTTTGGTCGGAATATTTATTTTCAAGGTGCTGGCATATATTCCAAATATGAAACAAATTGGTGCAGCCGTTTAGTAGTTTAGTGAAATAATTGTACAGAGAACTGTATGAAATCGTAAAGCGCGACGTCTCAGATTTCTAAATTTTTTGGCAGCAACAACGAAAAGTTTTGATTTTTTTAGCGAATAACCTTCCACACAGAAGTTCCAAAGAGTGCGATTTGGTTATGCTTGAACACACTTAATTGAATGTCAATAAAAATTAAGTTTGTGGTTATATCAAGGCGAAATTTTGAGAACAGTCTGTTGCTAACTCTAAATATAAACAACGACGCACTGGAAAAAGTTAGTACATTCAAATACCTAGGAATAATGGTCGAAGATAAACTAAAACAAAAAATAAAATGGATTCTATATTTTCAATTAGAGCTCTAGCAATATTTACATCGGTGAAAACTGCATTTCATTCCAAACATTAGTTTTTGCGTGTTGCCCTTACAAACATACAGACAGACAGACCAAAATTATAAAAATTTTAGATTTGGCTTCTGTTGATCTAATAAACCCCCTATTAATTCTTCTTTAGCATCTATTATGTACAGATATCGGCCTGTTGCAATTTTATTATTCTCAAATACTTTCGTTTGATACCCATATGGCAACATTTAGGTTATCTTATAAATTTAACTGAATTAAAGTTTTCAAATAAGTGGCAACCCGCTTCAAAAATACTTTCAAAGGTAAGCTTCCTAATCCTCTTTAGTTTAATGCCCGTATTGTAATATTTCATTTATTGTACAAATTTAAATGAATACAATTTTTCAAGGAGTCGGCAAATCCCCTAAAAAATTCGGCATTAAAATTTCATGGTCCTTTAGTTTATGTCAATATTGCAATATTTCATTTATGCTATCAAGTAAATTCAATTAAAGTTTTCAAATAGGTGGCAACTTCCACAAAAATATTTTCAGATGTAGCCTTTGTAAACCTCTTTCTTTTGAACTGAACTGAACTGAACTGAACAGAAATTTTAAACACAGGTGGCAACTCTCTAGGTTTTTTCTTCTATATTGTAAGCTAGATCTCTAGCGATACATCGGTGAAAACTGCATTCAATTCCATGTTTTCGAGTGATGCGCGTACAAATATACAGACAGACAGAGAGTCAAAAATTTAAAAAATTTTTTATTTGGCTTCTGTAGCTCTAATAAACATCCACCATATCAATTTTTCTTTAATATCTATAAGGTACAGACTCGGCCTGTTACAATATTATTATAAGTATAGATATAGACTTCATGTATTTTATCATTTTAATAGACAGACAGAGAGACAGACAAAAGTTCTAAAAATGGTTGATTTGGCTTCTGGTGCTCTAATACAGAACCCCCACATTAATTTTTCTTTAATATATATAGTGTACAGACATCGACCTGTTACAATTTTATTATATGTGTAGATACTTATTTTTACTTACATCCTTTTTGAAGTAATGACTAAAAGAGACTATTTTCTTTTGAAATTTTGGTATCAAATGTGTAGAAGTTGAAAAAATAATAAAAATTGGTGTAAATTCAGATTTATTCCAAAAATTTTCTTCATATTTACAATGTGTTCACAAAACTTATTATATCCTTAACTAGTACAAATATTTTTCTTTCCAAAGCAATATCCAAAGCAATCGAAAAAATGTCTTCTATATTGTTTGAGAAGCTCTCCTACCATGAAGTAAAAAATAAATAAATGGGGTTGAAACCTACTTTTTTACTTAAAGTGGCATTTTTATTTTTTCTCTCTGACCGCAGGATTTATTTTGAAGAACTTTGTAATTTCAAAGATATGATTAATTCCAAACATTGTTGAAAAAATTCAATGCAATGTTGAATAAAAATATGGGTAACAAATGCAATAGGAAATTTAAAAAATTTAAAGTTTCTGGATTCACAAGGACGAATAGGTAATTTTTAAGCTGACAAAGTTAGAAGAACGAAATTCGAAGATGTTATCGAGTTTATATAAGCACTTAACATATAATTTTTACCAAAACAAATATTGCGAAATTTCAAGCATAAAATTTTAAAATCACATTTTCAATATTTACCAGATCTTCTGCACCAGAAACTTGAGTATGTTTAAATTCTACAGGATTTCCTCATTAATTTTATACCTGTACTTCTTCTCTAAGTACATTTCTCTTAATTTTTTTAAATCATTTTTGAATTACTAACGTCAGAGTGAAAAACTAAAAAAGCAATTTTACTATATTTGGCCCAGGGTTTCGCGAATATATTGATATTTGTGTTTAAAATATATTATCGCGCGGTGTTATATGTATAATGAACTAGACATTTATAAAAAAATATTAATTATTAAATAAAAAAAGAATATAGCCAATACTGGTCAAGAAAAAGAGTTTGTAATATTGCCATCAGTGCAAATTACAAATATCGAAAATACCAAGATTACTTGCCAAGAATCCCGGGATTTTCAAGACCTTAAAAAGTCCGGGCTCCCAGGAATCCCGGGGTTAACATTCCTAGTTAAGACCCTAAAATGTTTTCAAGGTCGCGGCGATTTCACAAAACCAAGAGTTTTGTACTTTAAGTTTCGCGTACCTTCCGACTAGCCCCATGTAATTCAATAAGATTCGATCATCGAAAAATTACCATCTGTGCTATAAAGCTCAGAAATTTTGAATTTTTACTGTTTTTTTTTTGGAATTGAAGAAAAATAGTTATAATTTTGCTACTTCTACCAACTAAGTAAATACTCATCTAATTTTTTGCTTGTACTTCTCATTTCATGATCGTCTCTACCATCCGCAAAATGGACTTATCACAATTTTTAATTACACAAAATCTTCCGAATTCGCTCCACTAATTAATGCTAACAGTTTTTGGATTTATCTCGCAACCAACTATATGGCATCAACGATGACACAGCGATGCGCATTCAACGCATTCGCAATGTTCGATTGGACAACAATCCACTGATATGCGATGAATGTCACATGGGGAAATTAATAAGTGTCGTGCAACATGTGAGTATATATATTATACATGCATATATATATGTATGTACATTAGACCACGTCAAAAACAAAATCCTGCAATGCGACCGGAACCCGACTCAAAATTTAATACACATACAGTCGCACTCAGAAACGTTCTTTAAATTAGCTCTAACGGGCACTTAACTAATGATCGTTTAATCTGTTAATTAATGTTTCCTCTCAGAGTTAAAAATTATGAAATAAAAAATTTAAGTATGGCCCCAGTTGCGGCCCTTCATTTTTGTGGCATCACTCACTTTTTTCGTTCAGTTTGAAATAAAATATAAGTATTTATATCATTTTGCGCGCACTGGCTCCGCAGACGCAATGGCTGAGTGAGCAGAGCACTGGCGTGCTATTCGAGAGATCCGAGTTCGAGTCCTAGGGAGGAAAAATTTCCTTTTTCATCTTTTATTTATTTATTTATTTTCTTGTTTAATTTTAATAAACTATCTTTATTGATTTTTTTTTGCTTTTTTGATCTAATTTAATTATATTGTTTGCTAAAAGACAAACAAGACCAATAACAGGTCAATTCTGACATCTGTCTTTCAACTCACCTCAGACTTTCGAGAGACAAGTCTTTACATATATTCCAGCAACTATCTTGAAAGCTCTTTTCTATATTTAGGGCCGTTTTCTAATGTAAGCAGTAAAGTTGCCTTTACTAACAGGTCAGATAAATTGTTCCTCACTTTAAAGTGTTTTCGATTTCTTACCTTGCAGGTAAAAATAAATTTGTTATTCCGTAGAGTGAAACTTCACTACATTTCCGAGAGTGAAACTTCACTACATTCGTCATAAAATTTCAAAGGTTGGCAATGCAACATAAGCAAATATAGAGCAAGAGCAACTGTTAGCAAAAACCAAAACCTTGGTTGAAATATCTAATATATCTGACTCATGAACCAAAACCAAACCAAAATTTAAAGTTGGGTACAAATTTTAAAGGTTGCATCTGGTGAGCAACAGTTTATCGATTCGAGAAATTAATGCGCTGATGAGAAAACGAAAACTCGTATAGATGAGAAAACGGCCCTTAGAATGACTAATTGAAAGATGTACTAGTGGCGTTATTATATTTACCGTTTAGCAATAAGTTTTCTAAAAACTAAACGAAATGAAAAAAAATATATATTTTTTTTTAAACAGGAACCACTAAAAATTTGAGGAACTGAAAGTAAAAGAATAAAGATGAATCAAGAAAGTTGCTGAGCATCAAATAAGATAAAAATATTAATTTTGTAAGCATTAAAATTTAAAAAAATTTTATTAATAAAATTCGTTGCCGAGGATTGAAAACTCGGATCGCTTGAATGGCACGAAAGTGCTATGCTCACTGGGCCATTGCCACTGTTATAGCGACGTTGTCGAAATTGAAACAACAAAAACAAACAAAAAATTTCAAAATCATTCGTTAAAAAGTTAAGTAAAGGTTTTTGATTACTTTACTGTAATGTTCATTAAATGCCGTTAACGAATCATTAACTGACTCTGAGAGAGAAATTTTTCAAATCGTTACTGAGGACACCTTAAGTAATCATTAAACTACTCTGAGTGCGCCTGTCACTTATAAACTTATTTAACGATCATTAGTTAAGTGCCCGTTAGAGCTAATTTAATGAACGTTTCTCAGTGCAGCTGTTATCCCCCGATTTACATGGTAGAAAGGTTTCTGAGAAATCCGTGTAAAGCGAAAATGAAAATTTTGTCTGAATAACCGTGTAAAACCAAAAAGACATGCATACATACTAAAAGAGACTTTCCCTTTTTTAGATTTATTATTATTATTATTAATAATGATAGTTCTGCTTACAAAGCTAAAAAAACTAACATACGATTTCGATATAGCACTGGCTGCTTCGGCTTTCGGCTATATATAAGTTAGTTACTTAAACCTAAATTATGCTAAGAAATCACTTAAATTTAACATTATTTTTTACATAAAACTCTTACGTCTAATAATATTTATGCTTTTAAACGATTCTTACATTATGAAAATCTTATTATCTTATCTTATATCTTATATTATCTTATTATCTTATAGCACTATTTTATTTCTTAACATTTTGCTTAAATTTCATGATAAATGTTAACTACTTTAAGGAATTTTATAATTTTTTTAATACTATTGTTATCAATATTAGATAAATTAAGTGTAGGTCTAGTATCACCAAATAACTGTTGTCTGGCATGGTTTATTGCCGGACAAATATTAAGGAAATGTTCAATGGAAATATTTGCGTTACAATTACACAGTGGGCATAATGGTAAAATAGTTTTGTCAAGGAGATGTTTGTTAGTAATTTTAGTATGTCCCAAGCGCAGTCGAGTAAATTTTATTTGGTCAAGTCTATTTATATCTTATTGCGAAACATGACTTAGATAATCAGCAATAGTTTTCATATCTTTATTTATTACTTGGTACCAGTTATTACATTTTTGGAACATTGTGAGATGTTTTTCACAAAGGATTTTCTTTAAATATTTATTAATGTCAGTTTGGTTTAAATTTTGTGTAATAACCAGTGGCAACGTATAGCAGCTTTCGCTTCTTGATCGGCAAATTCATTGCCTTCTAAGTCAGAATGTCCAGTAGTGCGATTCACTACTCTATTTTAACAACACTTGTTATCGTTATATCAACTAAACAACAATTTTATCGATTTTGCTATTCAGAAAACGTTTCCTTAACAACACCGGCCTTCGAAAAATCAGCTGTTATCGTTTACGATTCGGCTATTGCTAAATTGTCGACATCTCAATTGGAGTTGTCAATTTTGTGTTAGCGTAAATATCTAAACAAATAAAAGTAACTTAATACGAAAAAAAGGAGTAAATACAAATTAGAGATGGCTTTCGAATTTGTAGCGTTAAGCTTGTCTCAAAACGAGCCAGAGAAAAATTTTTCAACGGTGGATCGGCGTTTTCTGCGGGATATTGATAATCCCCTAGAACTCCCACCTTCAGAGTTCCGGAAGCTTTACCGTGTGCGTCCAGGCATGGTGGCGGACGTGGTTGAACGGCTGGAAGACCTTTTAAAAGGTTCACGAATTACAGCGATATCGGCTGAAAAACAGGTAAAGCATTAAATATTTACTTTTAATAAAGTTTTACATGTGTCAATAAATTCACTTTTGTTTTGAAAGGTTCTGTGCGCTTTGCGATTCTACGCCACGGGATGTTATCAACGGCCCGTGGGGGAACAATGGGGAATTTCACTGAGTCAGTCATCAACCAGCCGCTGCATACACAAGGTAACCGAAGCCATCAATAGCCGCTTATTCTTGTCGGAAGTGAAGTTCCCCATGACCCAAATAGAACGTCAAGCTGCCAAGGAAGCGTTTTCCTTAGCTCCTGCGCCTTTTGTCGGAGGAACCATCGGGGCGATCGACTGCACCCACATATAATGAGGAAGCATACGTTAATCATCATGGATATCACTCCATAAATGTGCAAATGGTAAGCAAAGCATTTGAAATGAAGTATAGTGTTAATTGTTTATTGTGTTTGCTATAGATATGTGACCCAAATCTTAAAATCCTGAACGTGAATGCCAGGTATCCGGGAGCAAGACATGACTCCTATATTTGGAGCTCTTCCGCTGTGCGACAAGTCATGCAGCGAGCGTTTGAAAATGGAAACCGCAATATGTTTTTGATTGGTATTTATTTTTGTTAATTTATTTTAAAATATAATACTAAAAGATGTTTCTTTAAGGGGATTCTGGATACCCATTAGAGCCATGGCTCATGACTCCTTTACCCAACCAGCCAGAAGGGTCACCAAAATTTCGGTACAATGAAGCGCTCTGCAAGGCACGGAACCCGATTGAGAGACTCTTTGGCGTCCTTAAAGGAACGTGGCGATGCTTATCACAACAAAGGGTTCTGTTGTATGACCCCGCTTTCGCTGGTAAAGTCGTTAACGCGTGTGCAGCCCTGCATAACATTCGTTTAAGTGAGCGGTCAATTAGCGATCCTATTGAAAATTTTTCAACAGATTTTGAGAATTCTGACAGAATTTTCGAAAGCCCAAATGCATCATCTTCCATTGCAAAACGTGTACAAGAAAGATTGATTACAAACTTCTTTTCCTAAAATTTGTATGATTACACTTCTAAGGGCCGTTTTCTGAAGTAACCTTTAACTTGAAAGCTCACTATATATTTAAAGGTGGGATTAAAAATAAAGCTATGTCTAAAGTTAAGCATTTCTATTATCGGTTTTTGACGTATGTATGTTTCCTGGTTGTAAATCAATTTAAAACCGACAAAAAAATGATTTACTTTAGACACTATCATAAACTTTAATGCAACCTTTAAATATAAAGTGAGCTTTAAAGTTACAGGCTACTTGAGAAAACGGCCATAAAAGTTCAAAAAATTAAAGCTTAGAATCAAATATTTATAAGTACATACTTTATTAAAAATGTAAATATCACACGGTATTTTTGCCTTAATGGTATATTAAAATTAATCACACTAGATCATAAGCTTTCTTCTCATTTCTTATGTTAAATTTTCCCCTGAATCCAAACATGCAGTCAGAGATTTAGAAAGTAAATCCGTTTCGAGGTATATATAAATTTCGGTTTTTTGAGAACTGAAACAAGTTCACTCATTGAATTTAAATTTCTTTTCATACCAGTAAAGCTTTTACATTTGCTATCATTTATTTCAACATTATTGATTTATTGCCAAATTGAATATGCATGTTGGCATAGATGATAGCAAATTTAACAAGCTTCACTAGTAAAAAAAGAAATTTACATTCAAATTTATATATACCTCGACAACGGATTTACTTTCTAAATCTCTGACTGCATATTTGTATTCAAGGACAAATTTTACATAAAAAAAAGATGTTAAAACGCCACAGGTCAGATTTCTTGTAAACTGTTATTATCAATTAAATTTAATAATTTATTTTTGAGCCTAAAGTATGTTAAATAAAACATTAAAGGTTTTCTGCTTTATTAACTTTTTATTTTCATTTTGGTCGATATTTCAGTCTCAAGGCATCTTCAGGCGAAATATCGACCAAAATAAAAATAAAAAGTTAATAAAGCAGAAAAACCTTTAATGTTTTATTTAACATACGGCCTATAGCTCAAAAATAAATTATTAAATTATTTTCAACGGTCAATAATCAACGCAATCATTATCAATTAAAGGAAAACTTTTTAAATGATTTTTTAAAATAAAAAGGAAAATGAAAACTCAAGCAAAAATGTATTAATCCATTCAAAAACATAAGTATATAAGTTAAATAAACGCAATTACAATATTCATATTATTCAATCATTTAAGTTAGTGACATTTTGACCATTTTGTGTATACAGTTTGAAATGTGGGCTTATATGCTGCTTGTGATATCATGAGCTAGACTTTTATAAAAAATTAGTTTCTCCTCGGCCACAGCGACTGTATATGTATGTATGTATGTATATCGAGAGCTTATATTCAATACCCTCCATCAGCATTTTTCACAACAAGTTTTGCTCACGTAAATAGCACACTTTTATTTTTTACAATATTCACAATGTTTTACTTGATAAATTTTTTTATATTCAACAATTATATTCAACAATTTTATTGAGCTTGAGGCCGTTTTTTATGAAAAACTATTGTGGAAAAGCAACAATAATTTATAAAAATGATAGAAGTGATAGCTATTTCGGAGATCACCACATCTCATTAGACTTCTTCAGTTGGGATTCGATCCAACGACCCCAGCTGACTCAGCCAGTTGCCTAAGCACTGTGATAAGTTCATCTGATGAGGAGATGTGGTGATCTCCGAAATAGCTACCACTTCTACCATTTTTATAAATTATTGTTGCTTTTCCACAATAGTTTTTCATAAAAAACGGCCTCAAGCTCAATAAAGTTGTTGAATAAAAATCAAAAATTTCATCAAAATTTTCAACTTTTTTTCAGAACTTTAGAAACTTACTGGGTATGCAGTTTTGTTGCTTATTAAATTTTAGGACAATAATGTGGAGGTTTGAAAGTTCTGAAAAATCCCGTTGAATTTTGAGAATTTTTTGTCGGGTGTTACGCATTTTCTTCCTTTTAAAAATATATTTTTTCATGCGTTGTATGGAAGAAAATGCGTAACACCCGACAAAAAATTCTCAAAATTCAACGGGATTTTTCAGAACTTTCAAACCTCCACATTATTGTCCTAAAATTGAATAAGCAACAAAACTGCATACCCAGTAAGTTTCTAAAGTTCTGAAAAAAAGTTGAAAATTTTGATAAAATGTTTGATTTTGTTAAATTTTTCTGAACTGTGCACAAAGTTTTAAATTTTGACTTAATTGGTATATGTTATAGATTTTACTATATTTGTATATAAAATTTTTCAAGTAAAACGTTGTGAATCTTGTAAAAAAATTTTAATCAAAATAATTTACTAAAAACTTCCACAGCTTTAAAATTAAATGCACATTCAGGTACTTTATTCACAGAATTTTGTATGTAGTGTTAAATAAAAATATTTAATTTAAAAACATTAACTTAAAAAATAAAGAGAAAAATTAAATAAATACAAAAGAGATCAATTCAGCCTTAAAAAAATAACTACGCTGTTGGCCTGATACTTAGAAATCCGAGTTCACAAGTTTTTTTATTTTTTTCTTTATTTGTTTTAATTTATTTTAGGAAAAAACCATAAAGCAAAGTTGTTAACTTGTACATGATTTATAAAAATTCGAAGAATTTCGGAAAGTCGTCAATATTTCAAACTTTTTAATCAGAATTTCTGGAAAAAATCGTCTGTTTTATAACCTATTAAATTTTGATATAAATTGTGTAACTTTTAAGTAACTCAAAAATCTCATTGGTTTTTTGAGATTTTTTTTCGCTGACGTTGTTGTGCGTTTTCTACTATATAGAAGAATGTTCGAACATACTTCGTATGGAAGAAAATGCACAACAACGTCAGCGAAAAAAAAATCTCAAAAATCAATGAGATTTTTGAGTTACTTAAAAGTTACACAGTTTATATCAAAATTTAATAGATTATAAAACAGACGAATTTTTTCCAGAAATTCTGATTAAAAAGTTTGAAATATTGACTTTCTGAAATTTTTCGAATTTTTATAAATCAAGTACAAGTCTACAACTTTTCTCTATGGTTTTTTCTTAAAATAAATTAAAACAAAAAAGAAAAAAAATAAAAAAAACTTGTGAACTCGGATTTCTAATTATGAGGCCACCAGTGTATGTAAATATAATAATATTCTTCAGAAAATTAAAAGGTACCAATTCACTTTCTTAACCTAATTCTTAATCTACTTTTAGTTTTTCTTAACCTAATTTTTTTCAAAAAAATTATTGTGGACCGAGTGCCCTGGCCAAATTGTTTATGGCATCAGCACAGGCTTTCAACCCCTCTCCGTATCCGCGGAGTTCCCCCGCCAGCTGGAATGGTAGGTCCACCAGTCTGGCGAAACTTTCTGACAGCATCTATGTATTTTAAAAAACAATCATTAAAAATTCCAAAATCTATTAATAAAATATTTACTTTCGTTGCATCGGCTTGCGTTTTGGCAATTTCCAAAAATTTATTTTGGACGTCGATCTGCTCCTCCTCTCTCTTTCTCTTCAATCTCTGCGCGGGGTTCTGAGTGTAGGAGTTTTTGGAGTTTCCGGTCGCGTCTCCTCCTCTATCAAACCTTCGCACTCCACCACTTCATCCAGAAAAACAATCTCCTCACCGTCTTCCATGGCCAACTGGAGCTCCTAATAATGAAAAAGTGGTTAATACTGAGTCAGAAATAAGTCAATTAAAACTTACCAAGTTCATTGGTACATTTTCTGCCACAGACTCATGGCCCTCAATATAGTTGCTCCCGATGATGGCCACAACCCGCTCCTCTAGCTCTGTTAAAGGAGCTTGCTTAACGGGCTTGTTGCCGGTTAACGCCTGCTGCCTTTTCCTATCGCGCACTCGAACACTGGTTCTGCTCTTCAAATCGCGCCATACCTATTTACGTAAGAAGAAAAAAGTATCATTAAAAATTAACAGGTACAATGTTCCAAACAATGAATGCATGTACACACAACTAACGAGACTGTGCAGTGACAATGCATGGGATTGACTCCACTTGTATATATACTTTTATAAGAAAACCGATATTCTTACGTTAATAATTATTTTCACAAACGACAGACCTAAATAAAAGTGATTAATTTTTCCCAATTCACCAGTTCATACGCACAGCACCGTTGCTTGCTGGTACGTTCAAACTTAATGGGCTTATTACTTACTGTGCGCCACTGTTCGGCGGACTTTTGAGCACCTCCGATGGCATTTAGCTTGGAAGCCATCTCCTCCCACTTCTTCTCGTGCTCCATCTTCCCGTGTAGCCGATGAAACTTCCCACCGGCTAGTCCCGGGTTTTCCAAAAAGAAGTCCAGCATACCACTCAACTGCTCCATTGAAGCGCGGCTCCGCTTGTTGGCTGCTTGGCTAGTCGAGGCCATCCTGCGATAAAAGAACAATAGCTAGTTAAATTATTTATTCATCAATTTATTGAAATACTTACATTTTTAAGAAGAATCTGTGGTAAATTGCGCTTTTTTCCTATTCCCTTTTGTGCTTTTCGTAGATTTTGACATTTCGGATAACAGAGGTGTCACTTTTTATCATTTTAAATAAATAGCAAAAGTCAGCTGTTTAGTGTTGTTAATGGGTACGTTAGAGAATCGTACAATCGTTACTGCAAACAACAAAAATTGTTAGTTTACAACTCGGCAAGTAGCGTTGTTAAAAGTTAGTGAATCGCACTACAGGTACCCATAAAAGTTTTATTTTAGGATTATGAAAAGATAACAAGGATCTTATGGTTACTGTATATATGTTATAATTATTTAAATTAGGAATTGCATCAAGGGAGCAAATAATAAATTTTCCTTTTTTATTTGTCAGTATTTTCACTGCTTCTAATATTGCAATTATTTCCGCTGACATTACTGAGGAATATGTTGGAAGCAGTCCAGATTTTAAAACTTTATTTTCAGTAGTTATTGCGAATCCAGTTACGTTATTTATTTGGGAACCGTCTGTGTATATAAATGTGCAGTCTTTATGTTGTTCTCTTATGGCTTCGAAACATTCAGCCTTATCATGAACTCCGCGTGAAAAAAACATTCCCATGCGTTTTGTATTTCCCATGAACGAAAAATTCATATCACGAATTTCATGTGAATGAAAAATATTGTTCGAATTTCGAATATGCTATTGTGAATTTTAGCGGTCTGTCATTTGTGCTTTTGTGAATTTTAGCGGTCTGTCATTTGTGCTTTTGTTTTGATTTAGTGATTTTAACAAATAAGTAAATCCCCGTTTTTGTGTTAATTTCTAAAAACAAAATGATAAGTGGTTACTTGCGCTTCCTTGTTATGGAAGATGAAATCAATTATAGCCAACAGTTGGCTGAAAGAGTGTCCAGACGGATTTTACGTGACAACTCTAATCCTCTTGAGCTACCCAATTTAAGGTGCAGATGAAATCAATGTTCCTTCTAGAAATACTACTTTTACATATTTGTATGTATGTTCACATATGGTCATTTATAGCTTTCACCAATTATACAGGGTTAATAAGCCTACATTTAAGTATTTATTGGATGTGTTGCAAGATGGCTTGCCGACGGCACGTAAATCTTTTGCAATAGATGCTGTGGTGAAACTATCAGCATGCCTGAGATTTTTCGGCGAAGGAGCATACCAGAAAGGAGTAGGCAGGCAAACTGATGTAGGTTTATCTCAGTCAAGCTTCAGCCAGGTCCTTTCTGAAGTTTTAGACGTATTTGAGTCTAGTCTTTGTGACCAATGGATTTTGTGGCCTACTGAAGACGAGAAGAGAGAAATTGCTTTGAACTTTTACCAGAAATATAAGATGCCTGGCATCATTGGTTGCATGGACGGAACACACGTAAAAATCATCGCCCCAAGATGTAATAAACACTTATACTACAATCGCAAAGGATACTATAGTATGAATGTTTTACTGGTAAGTTGAAACACAATTTTCTTTAATGGAAGTGAAAACTCAATTAAATACAACTTGTAGGTTTGTGATAACAAAATGAATATTAGATATGTGGACGCAACGCACCCCGAAGCCTGTAACGACTCATTAATTTGGAGCACTAGTAACTTGAGAGTTTCCGTGGAACAAGACTATTTACGAGGCTGCAGAAATATTTGGCTGTTAGGTAGTTTTTTACTGCATTTTTTTTTTATCATTTGCATATATAATACGTACACTTGTATATCTAGGTGACGCTGGATACCCGCTGGAGCCTTGGCTGCTAACACCTCATAGATCGACGGTAGAGAATTCTTCTGAAAGCAAATTCAATGAGGTTCATGCCCGGGCACGAAATATTATTGAAAGGACTAATGGCGTTTTGAAAAACAGATGGAGATGTGTCCTGGGCGCTAGAGAGCTACATTACACGCCTAAAAAAGTTACAAAAATTATTAACGTGTGCTGTGCGCTGCACAATATTTGCATTAAGTACCGTTGTGATGACACACCCTTTATTACAAGCGCTCCTCCGCAGGTGTAATCTTTTGAATATTTGGAGCATGAACAATCGGAGTCAAACTCAGCTTATCTCAATGAGGCAAAGCTAATTAGAGCCAATATAGGAAACACACTTTTGTAATTCAATCAAGACAGTTTTTATTTTTAGTTAAGCATGAATACATACAGTATCGGTCATATTAATAGCACCCCCATTACAAAGTGATTATGTTTGCCACTTATGTTTATTTATTTATTTTTAAGAGTATTCAATTAAAATACAGTTCGTTCTCTAACTAAACTCATATTAACCTAAGTTCAAAACTTTGTAGAAAACTATAAAATAATGGAACTCAAAAATATAGTAGCACTTCTGAGAAAAAGTTTGAAATGTAGGTGAAGATTTGTTCCATTATTTTGTAGTTTTCTACAAAGTTTTGAACTCAGGTTTATATGGGTTTAGTTAGAGAATGAACTGTATTTTAATTGAATACTCTTAAAAATAAATAAATAAACATAAGTGGCAAACAATATCACTTTGAAATGGTGTTGTTATTGATTTGACGTGTATGTATGTACATACATATGTAATTTCTTTTTTCTGTATGAATGTTAACTAAAGCACTTGTTAAAATAATAGCACGTCAACATTTTGACCATTTTTTGTTTGTTTAATGTTCATTAATTTTTTTTATAAAATTATTGCTCCTTGAAATTAAAATTAGATCAAATTTAGTTTTAATTAATTTGGTACAAAGTTTGAAATTTAGACTTATATGGTTTTTACTATATAATGAGCAAGAATTAAAAAAAAATGAATGAACATTAACATTGTCACAAAAAATGGTTGAAACTGGTCAAAATGTAGAGGTGGTATTATTTTGATAATAAAAATATAATTTAGCAATATTCAAACCAACAAAATAGAAAAATTAATTATTTCAATACAAAAACAATGGGTTAAAAGTGATATTAATTAATACCCAGGTTTCGCTTTTCGACAAGTAACTTTAAATCTTGAACCTGGATTTTGCGGTTGATTAGCTCAATGTTGCGATCCATTTCTATTTTTTTTTAGCCGCTCTATTTCAAGGTGGTGCCGTTTGGTTTCTTTCAATAAATTGTCCTGACTTTTTTCTAAATTTTTGATCGATTCCCTTATTTTCCTTAACTGACGTTCTACTTCCTTGTGGTGTTCGGAGCACATCTCCAAACCCTTGGCAAAATTAGCGCTGATTTCTTTTTGGACATTGAGTTCCATGGATAATAAGTCCGAAGGGTTAATTTTGTTTTGACTTTGTCTTTGCTTATGTGCTAGCTGTGCATTTTTTGGTTTGGTTCTGGATGCTCTCCCCGCAAACGGGTATTTCTTGAAAACTTTGTTCTTGTATCTTCCATTGAAATATCTATCTCTTCGTTTGGGTCGCATTCAATTTCCGGTAATTTTTTATCCCTTCCTTTAGATGGCTGTAACCCAAAAGTCCGCCCTCCGTCAACACCTTCCACACTCTCCATTGTCGCAGTTAAGGGTGGTATTATCACTTGCGAAGCGAACGGTTTGCCGAAGCGAATTAAGGGGCAGAGAAGGCATTAAAAGTGTTCGCGATGGAAAGAACTTCCACAAGCTGGTAAAAAAAGAACACTCTTAATGCATATTTAAGTTGCGTCCGCCAATCCATTCGCTTCGCCAAATTCATTCGCTTCGCAAGTGATAATACCGCCCTAAGTCTAAAATCGACTGTTCAAGGACGGAAAAAACGTGTTCCTTGCATGGACCTCCACCGGTTTTCTTTCTATTTTGAACATTTTGAATAGCCTTCTTACGTACGTATCTTTTTTGATCAATCCACACCTATAAAGAATCAGTAACATATGTAAATTGTTTAGAAAAAACGTGAAATGCTTAGTTATTTGTACAACGATTTTGGAGTGGGGGGCTGAAGGGAGGGCGTAAAGTGTAGACTCTTGTCTACAAGTGTGTGTTAAAGTTTTTTGATTCGGGTCACGCGTTTGGGCCCAGCAACCCGAAATCGTTGTACAAATAACTAAACAGTACCCGAAAAAAATATATACATACATATATATATTAAAAAGCAAACATTTGCCTTATTACCTTTTTCCATTCACAAATTGATTTAACACTCTTGCGAGCAGAAATGGCGGTTTTGTGTGAATAAATTTCCATTTACGGTTAGGGTAATTTTTCGAAATTCCCATGTGAAGTTCACGATAGCAAAAGTACAAACTTGGGAATTTTTCCATTGGGAATGGCATTCACACGAAATTCACGATAAGGCTGATTGTTTGTAAATGACTCTACTAGTGTTTTATTTATTGTATTTTCTAAGTTCAGTTAAGATAATATTTTCTGGGAAATTCCAATAGGGTTTAATTTTGTATGCTATGGGTGGCGCACAAGGTAAGTTTTGATTACAACAGATTTCTAAGGTTTTATTTGTTTCTAGAATTGGTTTTTATAATATTAAATATAGGCGTATCCCGTGAGTTTATTAAGTTCTTATATAATTTAGCCGTGAGGTAGTCTCTTTTGACTTCTATTTCAGGGATATTGGCTTCAAACAACATGTTCGTTGCAGGTGTAGTCCTAAAAGCACCAAGTGATATGCGTATTGACGAGTTGAATTGTGACTTTAACTTGTTAAGTAATGTTTTGTGGGTATGACCATAAATAAAAAGACCATAGTCTATTTTCGATATGAGCATTGATTTAGTTACATTCAGTAATGTGTGTGTATTACAGTTGAACTTAGAACTTGCTAGGCATTTTATTATGTCTAGTCGTTTACAAAGGGAGTCTTTTAAACTATTAGTGTGAGTGGTCCAGTTGTATTTGTTATTTAATATCAAGCCGAGTATTTTGAGTGATGATACCACTGGCATTTGAATTCCGTTACAAGATATAGTGCACACACATACTTGTTGTTTGCATACATGCAGTTGCTTTTTTTTATAGATAAAATTACACCAGAGTATTTGCCCCAGTTTTCAATATCTGTGAATAGGCTATCCAAGCTAAACGTTGCATTCTTTTGTTTCTTTTTAAAGTTTATAAATAATTGAAAGTCATCTACATAAGCACAG